TATATATATATATATATATATATATATATATATATCTTTTTATTATTATTTTTTTTAACGTCATTTGACAAGAAATGATATTTAGGGACTGCCCAAAACGCTCTGCCTTGGGTTGGCATGCACTATTGCGTAATTAAAATAAGATCAGTACTATTTATTGCAGCTGATTTTATTTTGATAAGGGGAGTATTAGTTGAGTACTATTTTAATTTCAAGAATGGCTAACTCGTAATCGATCATAGTGCATTATGGATATCACAGTTTTCATCACATTTTGTAATAGTATACCAACTCTCCTGGGTTTGACTTTACTACTTTACCGTTTTAAGTGGTATTTTGACATTTGACTTAGCTTATTGTAGTTACCCACTCATACAACTAAACATTATGCTTGTTCTGGCTGTACGACTTGCTTATGGGCACAAAAATAGGGTCCAGATTTGAGTTTCTGTACTGTCTTTACACAGCATGACGCCAGCATCCACCTTTAATAATACAGGAATCCTGTGAATGACATCATTATTCTACATTAACTTCATAAACATTTGTTATAGTTGACGTACCCCTCCTTCTTGGTTTAAATTATATTTTTCCTAATTTTATGCTACCAATTTCTTTAAGGCAGCACTATGAATGGGAATTTGTCAAAAAGAGTATTGGACAGAAAAAGGAACTGGAAGTGGAAGAGAGATTAATGTTTGGACAAAGATGTTCATATAGTGCAGTATATAACACTTTGCAGCTAAGTCTGTTCTCACAGTGAAGACCGCAATAAGTGACCATGCTTCATTACTTCACATCTTTAGCTGGATAGGGACTTATAAATCTGAGAAATACCATAATAATCATTCTGGTCTTCAGCACTCCTTGCTCAGTAAATACTCATTCTTATGGCTTGCATGGCTGCTATAAAATAAAGTGTTAAAATGCAGGGGTTGCTTTGATAAAGATGGAGAAAGAAGAACTTCTTAAAATGTGAACTTGCTAGATTTGAGTATTTTATGCTATATAGACCGATCAACCATAACATTAGAAGACTCTTGCCTAATATTTTGTAGGTCCCCCTCATGCCCCCAACACAGCTATGACCGGTCCAGGCATGGACTCCATAAACCACTGAAGATGCCCTGTGGTATCTGGCACCAAGACATTAGCAGCAGATCCTTTCAGTCCTGTAAGCTGTGAGATGGAGCCTCCATGGTTCGGACTTGTTTGTCCAGCACATCCCACAGATGCTTGATCAGTCTGAGATCTGGAGAATTTGGAGGCCAACTCAACACCTTGAACTCTTTTTCATGTTCATTAATCTATTCCTGAACCATTCTTGCAATGCGGCAGGGCGCGTTGTCCTGCTGAAAGGGATCACAGCCACTAGAGAATACCGTTGCCATGACAGGATGTACTTGGTCGGCGTCAGTGTTTAGGTAGGTGGTACGTGTCAAAGCAACCTCAACATGAATGCCAGGACCCAAGGCTTCCTGGTGGAATGTTTCCCAGAGCATCACACTGCCTCTGTCGGCTTGCCTTCTTCCCATAGTGCATCCTGGTGCCATCTCTTCCACAGGTAAATGACGCACATGCACTGCCCATCCACATGATGACTCTTCAAACCAGGCCACTTACTTCCATTGCTCCGTGTTCCAGTTCTGACTTTGATGTGCCCACTGTAGGCACTTTTGTATGGGCATTCGGACCAGTCTGCGGCTACAATGCGCTGTGTGTTCTGACACCTTTCTATCATAACTTTTTCAGCAATTTGTGCTACAGTAGCTCTCCTGTGGGACTGGACCAAGCAGGCTAGCCTTTGTTCCCCACACACATTAACCTCCAGCATTGTAGGTTTGAGTCCCGAAACCCAGTTCTGCCTGTAGTTATTGTCCCGGTCTTCACGTGGGCTTCCTTTTGCAGTCCAACAACTTCCAGAGCTGGTCTCTACTGTCACCACATCCCATCCACTATCTTACAAACCACTTATACTGGGCTAAAATATTAATGGGGCAGTGTGCCAGTGATAGGAGGGTTGTTTGTTCAAATCCCAGAGTCAGCAAAGTGATTTCACTGTTGAATGTTTGACCAAAGCCCTTAGCCTCCAATTGCTCCAGACCACCTGATGCTCTGGGTAAAGCAGCTGCTACACAATAAATGCAAACAAACATACAGGGGACCCATGTAAGATTTGATATTTTCCTGCAGTAGTTTGTTTAGTACTTCTGCCCAACAGTGAAGTGTTACTAAAAGAAGTGATGTGGAGTTGAAAAACATTATTGCTGCTTGACATCCTAAGCCACCCAGAGAGGTTAGAGGACCCACATAAAGTTTTGTCTTTTCCAATACCTTCTGCATTTCATTTCCAACCAAAGCAAAGTTTGTCTACTTACCTGTTGAGAGTAATTTAGAGGGCAAATACAAAAAAACTGAACACTAGTCACTGGCTAATAAAAAAAATTGTATGTGTGACACTTTTTGTACTGAACTAGCCAAGCTGGCTAGCAGCTAAAATTCTTATGGTCAACCATAACATCATAAATATCATTGACAGTTTTGTGGCCACATTTGTGTAAAAGCTTAGTGCAGTTTGAGCAGGGATAATATTCAGTTATTACCCTTTAAAATTAGTAGTATTTTAAAGTGGTATGAAGTGATACAGGAAAAATAAAGACCTTTCAATTTTATTTAAGTGTAATTTTCACTGTAACACTTGAGAAAAATGTCTTTTATTCCGTTCATCAGTCTTCAGTACTTGTTTAGCTTATTTCTAAATGATGATGCTGCATTTGAGCAAATGTACCTTTTGAGCCTGATTATGTAAATTATTTTGTTATTTAACTTTGTGCCTTTGGAGTTGTCTGCAGGTGTGAATGAGTGAGTGAATAATGTGATGTCCTGTGATGGGTTGGTGCCCAGTCCTGGGTTATTCCCTGCCTTGCACCTGTTATTTTTGCACTCCCACAGCTCTGGATAGGACAAGTGGTTATGAAAAACGAATGAATGAATGAACTATGACTATGTGACTATGCTGTTGACCTTCAAGATCAGACTGATAAGGTTAACGGATCTTGATTTTTTATTTTTTTTAGTTTGTGGAGGTTTTTCTTCACACGTCAGTGAAGAAAATCATTTATTATCAACACCTAAAGTCATGAACGTCTGCGATATTAGTATTCTATTACACCACCTGCTGACTGAGCTAGGTAATTACGGCTTTCATAACTAGCCAGTCAGTAAAGTGAAACGTGAACCTGGTGGAACCACCACAGCATAAAACAAACTTGCAGAGTCAAATTTTATTTCACTAGACAACACATACCCATGACATTAAACAGGATAAATGTGTGGCTGATGAATGTATGTATGGATGGATGGATGGATTCAATATGCTCAGCATATATCAAGTGTAAGCAAAGCGTACCTAAGGCTATTAAAACTCAGGAACACTGATACTGACATTTAAACTTTCTATTGTGCCATTGGACTGAAAAATTCCACCCTTTGATAAATTTTACATGGATATATTAACACAAATATTTAAAATCTGTATCACAGTTATACAGTACCAGTAAAATATCTAGACGGACCTACTGAAAATCATTTGTTTTCAGCAAGATAATGTCCCTAAGGCCATCTAGAGGTTATGAATGTACTGTTATATCTTGTGAACAGGGAGAGAGCTGGAGTGCTGTGACAGATGACCCACAATCCCTTGACCTAAATGCTATAGAGCTGGTTTGGTGTGAATTGGATAGAAGAGTAAGTAAGTAGCCAATGTGGGCCCAGAACTTGTGACAACTCCTTCAGGACTGTTGGAGAAGCTCCTGGTGGCTACATCTGGAAGCTGGTTGAAAGAAGGCAAGAGTCAGCAATGCTGTCATTGAAGCAAAAGGGGATTATTTTGAAGAGTCTAAAATTTGAGAAAATTTTGAGATTTTTAAGCACTTCTCTGGGTTGTTGCAGCATGTGATATATGTATTTCTTCGTTGCCTCCAGGCCTTTCACTATAAAATGATTAACACTCTGTCCACACTTTTGACTGGTGCTGTATAAAACATATATTTACAATGCGTGAGAGCAAAATTATTATCAGAGTATTTAGCTCACGGATGGTTTAAATCTAGAAAGCTCATTAGCAAATGCTTGTATTTGTGGTGCAATCGGCACAATGGCATTTTACAGACAAGGGTAAGGCAAAATGTCATAATTCCATCCATCCAGCTGCTTACTAAGTTCATGGTAATGTGGAAGGCCATACTGGTTGTAAAAGTTTAAACATACCCCATAGTGTTATATGTTACATTTTGCATAGCCTTTTTATTTTGGTTATTACACGCTGACAGCTTGCATAATTCACATTAAAAAAAACAATTTACTTAGGAATGGGCAGTTGCGCGGATCATTTAATCTTTCTGAAGGCCGATTTTTAGGCTTTATTTTTACAGCTGGGTATTTAAATTTTCACCTTTGTTAAACTATATTTATGAGTACCAGGCAAAATTACTGCAGGGATAGGAATAAATGCCTTCCAAAAAATAATATGTTTATTACGTCAGTTATAGTAGTTATGTTAATGTAACCTCGCATACATTACAGAACTGGAAGCATAAAATCGTTGTACTCATACAATTAACAGCGATAGTCATATAGTCACCCTTAACTTGAATGCGTACATTTAATGCACGGCTTGATTTTGTTTCAGTTGTCATCTGCCCACACTTTAGCTATAAAATTTATTTTGAATAAAACAAATCACAAACAAATCATCAGCCATTTCGTCTATCACCTTGTCTTCTGATAAACATTTAACAAAGCAGTTGTATTGTCAGAGGTAAACTTTGCACGACGACTGGTCATTAGCGTATTTGTTTTTTAAAGTAAGAAATAATGCAGGAATCCTCTGAATGTATAGAAATCCAAACACTTAGATTCGAAAACTTTATTGCCATTGTTCACATATAAACTGGCTTCCACCGCACGATGGCATTGAAAAAGCAACAATAGAGTGAAGAGTTGAACCGGTGCGGCCAGCTGTCCCTCATATTCCTTAACCATCAAAAGGGGGCGGTATTGCAACGACTGTGTTGTATGTTAATTCGCTTAATTTTGTAA